ACTCCAAGGCTGTATTAGTTTCCTAGGGCTGCTAAACAGAGTGCCACAGACTGGGTGGCTTAAAACAATCATTTTATCATCATAGTTCAGAACACTAGAAGTCTAATATCAAGGGGTTGGCAGGGCTGTGTTCCCTCTGAAGGCTGTAGGGAAAATCTTTTCCTCGCCTGGCTTCTAGTGGCTCCTGGTATTTCCTTGGTGTTCCTTGGTGTTCCTTGGCTTGTGGACACATCACTGCAGCCTCTGCCTCCATGGTTTTCTCCCCATGAGTTTGTCTCCAAATCTCCCCTTATAAGGACACCAGTCACTGCATTTAGGATCCACCCTAATCCAGTATGACTTCATCTCAACTTGATTACCTCTTACCAAATAAAGTCACATTCACAGTCACCAAGAGTTGGGACTTGCACATAACTTTTTGGGAACACAGTTCAACATCACAGCAAAGCCCGGGGCTCTTTCTATTAACCACATAACTGGTTCACCTGGACTTGGTGTCATGGAGCACTACCTGAAGGGGATTACAACTTGTGAAATTTAACATTTCTACTTAAAATAATTCATCTTCTATCCTTGGCCGTCAGGATTTCCTGTCAGGTAGGTCAGAGTAAAGCTTGCTGCAGACTAGCTGTGCTTCCTGGCAGCAGAGCCTGGGGGCACTTGACTGTCATTCACATATCCGTTTTTGCTTGGGGGAGGCTGGGTGTACCAGTGAGGTTTCCTGTGTAACCCACACAGCGAAACTGGCCACTAGATCTGTGTGGTGTTTGATCTTGTCTGTGAAGCTCTTACCTATTAATAAGTGTCTGAGGGAGTGTGTTGTTTTTTTCTAGAACGTAAAGGTGGAAGTAGAATCTGGAATAGACTTCCAGTCTGTAATCTGAACATCTGACAAGGGAGTTCTATGGTCTCCTGTTGACAGTATCTTGTGCTAAACCTCAGGCTTTCTCACACACCGTATGTACCACCACCTCACAACCTTCCCATGATGATCTTTATCCCCATACCTCTACCAAGATGAAGGCAACATCTTGTAAGGCCTGAATTAGGAATTTCTCAAAGTCCTTATCATTTAATATTGAGAGTTTCAAGTATTATTTCTGCCATTAGACTACAGTTTTCCTTCAGATAGTACCTATGTCTGACTGGTTTTTCTCCAGAGGAGCTTGTATCTGATCCTGTTTCTGAGAAGCGTTGTTGATCAAGTTGAAGATTTTTCCCAGATTTTCAGGCTTGGATCTCAGTGTTTATCTTTTTGGGATTCTGCAGGTGACAGAGCTCAATGAACCTCTCTCCAATGAAGATCGAAACCTCCTGTCTGTGGCCTACAAGAATGTGGTTGGTGCCCGGCGGTCTTCCTGGAGGGTCATCAGCAGCATTGAGCAGAAAACCATGGCTGATGGAAATGAGAAGAAATTGGAGAAAGTTAAAGCTTACCGGGAGAAGATTGAGAAGGAGCTGGAAACAGTGTGCAATGATGTCCTGGCCCTGCTTGACAAGTTCCTCATCAAGAACTGCAATGATTTTCAGTATGAGAGCAAGGTGTTTTACCTGAAAATGAAAGGCGACTACTACCGCTACTTGGCAGAGGTAGCTTCCGGGGAGAAGAAAAACAGTGTGGTTGAAGCTTCGGAGGCTGCCTACAAGGAAGCCTTTGAAATCAGCAAAGAGCACATGCAGCCGACGCACCCCATCCGCCTGGGCCTGGCCCTCAACTTCTCCGTGTTCTACTACGAGATCCAGAATGCGCCCGAGCAGGCCTGCCTCTTGGCCAAACAAGCCTTCGACGACGCCATAGCTGAGCTGGACACACTCAATGAGGATTCCTATAAGGACTCCACGCTCATCATGCAGCTGCTGCGGGACAACCTCACCCTCTGGACGAGCGACCAGCAGGACGAGGAAGCGGGGGAGGGCAACTGAGGGGCCTCCGGGCCCGCCGCCCTGTCTTCGCCCACCACCCCCATTGCCGCCGATTCTTCCTTGCCACAATCACTAAATACCTAGTGCTAAACCTATCTGTATTGGCAGCACAGCTACTCAGACCTGCTCTCCTGCCCCTTGGGAAGCAGTCAGATAAATCTTCATGGGCAGTGCTGGTTGGGTGGTTGCTTTGAGCCCACAGGAGCTCCCTTTTCCAATTGTGCAGACAAGTGCGTCCTGAAGGAGGCATTTTACTATGCCTGTTGATCTGTGTGAAATGGAGGCTTCTTTTTGGGATTCTGCAGGTGACAGAGCTCAATGAACCTCTCTCCAATGAAGATCGAAACCTCCTGTCTGTGGCCTACAAGAATGTGGTTGGTGCCCGGCGGTCTTCCTGGAGGGTCATCAGCAGCATTGAGCAGAAAACCATGGCTGATGGAAATGAGAAGAAATTGGAGAAAGTTAAAGCTTACCGGGAGAAGATTGAGAAGGAGCTGGAAACAGTGTGCAATGATGTCCTGGCCCTGCTTGACAAGTTCCTCATCAAGAACTGCAATGATTTTCAGTATGAGAGCAAGGTGTTTTACCTGAAAATGAAAGGCGACTACTACCGCTACTTGGCAGAGGTAGCTTCCGGGGAGAAGAAAAACAGTGTGGTTGAAGCTTCGGAGGCTGCCTACAAGGAAGCCTTTGAAATCAGCAAAGAGCACATGCAGCCGACGCACCCCATCCGCCTGGGCCTGGCCCTCAACTTCTCCGTGTTCTACTACGAGATCCAGAATGCGCCCGAGCAGGCCTGCCTCTTGGCCAAACAAGCCTTCGACGACGCCATAGCTGAGCTGGACACACTCAATGAGGATTCCTATAAGGACTCCACGCTCATCATGCAGCTGCTGCGGGACAACCTCACCCTCTGGACGAGCGACCAGCAGGACGAGGAAGCGGGGGAGGGCAACTGAGGGGCCTCCGGGCCCGCCGCCCTGTCTTCGCCCACCACCCCCATTGCCGCCGATTCTTCCTTGCCACAATCACTAAATACCTAGTGCTAAACCTATCTGTATTGGCAGCACAGCTACTCAGACCTGCTCTCCTGCCCCTTGGGAAGCAGTCAGATAAATCTTCATGGGCAGTGCTGGTTGGGTGGTTGCTTTGAGCCCACAGGAGCTCCCTTTTCCAATTGTGCAGACAAGTGCGTCCTGAAGGAGGCATTTTACTATGCCTGTTGATCTGTGTGAAATGGAGGCCAAAGCAATGGGCAAGTTTAGAAAGGAGAGTTCGCCAACACTGGCTCCTATTGATATTTAAATGATCCGTTTAGAACAAGCTGATAGTGTTTTGTTAAGCAGTACAACTTGTGCATGCAAAAGTGAATCCCCCCCCCCACCTCTTTTCTTCAGCTAATGGAAAACTTAAGGGAAGCTGATACAGAGAGCCCACCGGCTCCTTCCCATCAGCTTTATAATAAACTGTTTAATGTGAGGTTTCAGTAGCGCCTTGTTTCTGCCTCTTTAAATTATATGCACAAACGTTCTTTTCAATGCAATGCATCTAAAGTTTTGATACCTGTAACTTTTTTGTTTTTGGTTGCAATTGTTTTAAGAATCATGGATTTATTTTTTTGTAACTTTTTGGCTCTTGTCCTTGTGTATCCTGACAGCACCATGTGTGTTAGCCCATGTCAATCAAGATGGGTAATTATGAAATGCCAGACTTCTAAATTAAATGTTTTGGAATTCAGTGGGTAAATAAATGCTGCTTTGGGGATATCTTCATGTGTATAGTCTTCATTTTTCTCCTCTCTGAAGGAGCTGTGTAACAGGTCACCATTTTGAATCCTGGTTTGAGTCTCAAACATTGAAGCATTTTTAGTAAGTTTTCTTGCTCTCTAATCCCATTACACATTTTGCAATATACACTTAAAGCTGGTGAGTTTTAACTTGTTTTCTGTGGACCCAGCTAACATAGCCTCTTTGATCCACTCTTCTGGTCACCGGTGCTCCTAGGGTGCTGAGGAGAGCAAGATGCTGTCTGCCACAGTACAGGACCTCTGTGAAAGGCATGTGTCGTTTAACTTGGGAGGGTGTTGCTCAACCCGCCCTAGAATGTTGGTTTATGTTTAATATTCAAGGTAGATAATAAGCTTAAGACATGTCCTCCATTTAAAAAAATATTCTTTCTGTATTTCATGTGAACTCTTCACAATTTTTACCACCTCTAGTGTGGTGCCCAGGACCAAATGGGCTTGTTAAATGGATTAGTTTAGTTACACAAAGGTCTTGAACACCTGCCCTTGAAAGCTTGATGCTTGATTGGTGACAGTGGCCTTGATCCAGTCTCTGTCCTTGAACTTTATGGTGGCGCCCAAAACTGGAAAGTTTAACCTATTCTGAAGTGAAGTTGTGACCTATGTGTTTATAATAAGTACTCCTTAGCCTGTTTCAAGTTGGCCTGATTGCTATCTAAGAAGGCTATCGAGTTTTATTTCAGATAATAGGTCAGCTGTCTTAGAGCTACAAGCTTTATTTGGCCCAGACACTTGGCTTTGACAAGCAGTATGTAGACTTTAAAACTGTACTTATACTTGAAATGCTGTTAACAGGAAGGGCTTTAGGAAAAGTACTCGTATTTCCTTTTCACAACTTCCTTGTGAAATATTTTGTCCCCACCTGGCAGCTAGGTGCAGAGGTTAAGGCCCTCGAATTCACACAGTTGGTAAGCCACAGAGGACAGCTTCCATGCAAGACTTCTGATTGAGAGCTCTAACTGCCCTCCGGTGAGGTCCAGCAGTGCCATGCCACCCCGGCTCCAGGCAACCTTGATGACCCACACAACTTCTGAGACCCAGGTCCCTCATTTTTTAAGTGAGAGATGGTATGTGTTCTAATTCAGTGCAGAGTACTCTTGTGTGTGCAAGGCATCCCTTTTGTCTGGGAATGGGGCATGGGAATGTGGGATGTATGGACACATAATTAGCCCCATAAGTGACAAATAGGGTTCTTTGAGAGGCCCTAAGAAGGAGCTATAAATTACATGTGCTGTAAACCTGTTAGGTTTCTCTACTTTGTGATTTCAATGATTTTCCAGTTCTGCACACTCTTAGGTTTTAAAACTTGTCAAGATTAATTTATGAAATGAGATGCGGTCATCTCAGTGTTGCAGTGGGGAAAACTGAAGTCCAGGGAAATGAAACAGCTTTTCCAGACACATGCTATGAAATTAGTGACAGAACCTAGACTAGCATTCAAATCCCCTAAATCCTTGTCTTGTCTTGGTTCTTTTCATTTATACCACACTCTCGGGACTGAGACAAAAAGCTGGATGTGACATCCCATTCTAGGAGACTTAAAGTACTTTTAATGTTTCACTTAGAGCTGAAGGAATTATACTTGGAAAGGTGTGTTTAAATTTATTGGTGTTATTGCTTCAGACTGAATAACCCCTCAAGCCCTGCTCAAAAGTCCGTTTGTTTGAGTTGGAGGAAAGGGTAGGATCCTTGATAATGGAGCTGTTGTTGCATAAATATTGGCCACCTTAAATCACTTGGGATTGGGGAGCCCAGGGTGTCTCTTGGCTCTGTAAAATAAGCTGGGCTCTGCATTCCTGCTAGGGAGCCCTCCCCACCCTCCTCCCATACACTCTCGCAGGCTCCCTGCTATTCAGAGGCGTAGAGGGTCTTCAGTTCTCAGGATACCCTCCAACTATCACCAAGCAGACACTGATTGACAGCTGGGTGGGACTCTGATAAAGATCACGTCTGTTGTAAATTCCGGTCATTAGGCTGATGAAAACAACCTTTCTAAATACCTGCTGTGTTCAGGACACATTGTGTGTGTGATCTCAATCCTTATAGCCACCTGGAAGGTAAGAATGATAATTTTACATGAGGAAACCAGGTATTGGGGTCTGAGATGTGTATCTAGTAAGAGGTAACGCTGCTGGGTCAGCCCCTGAAGACTCCCCATCCCACCATGGGCATTGTGGACCCGCCTGGAGAAAAGGACCCTAGAGAAGTTGCCGGCCCGTCTGCCTCTCGTCTCCATCCTTTCTTCCCCAGTCTCTTGGGCATCGTTCCCAAATCAAGTCCTTCTGAAAAGGCCTAATAAAATGTGTTGTCTTAAGAAACCTCTGATCTTTCTGGATGCTTCCTGCGGCTGACTGGCTCAGTCCTTGCATTACTCTAAGTCACTGTGCACACCCCCCCTCACCTTCCCCTCACTATTGGCCCCTGTGGTGTCTAGCAAAGCAAGGGCTCCAAAAGCTAAAAGATCGGGAGTCTGCTGTCAAGTTTAGTTCCCCCAAGTGCAACTCCCACGCTGTTACCCCGGAGGGCAGGACTGTATGGGAAGGAGAAGGGAAATAACATTTGCTGACTGCCTTCTGCTAAACGGACCTTTACAATTCATTTAAAAAATAAAGGCTAACAATCCTGTGACAGAGGTTGTATCTCCCATCGAGAGGCTCTGAGAAGTGTTTTCATAAGGTCACACAGCTGGCAAGTAGCCGAGCAGGTGTGTGCAGTGCTCCAAGGTCCTTCTTTTCATGAACGTGTTGCCTTCAGGCAGAGGTGGGGAGCCTGGCATTCCAGGTCTGCCGTGATGGGACCTCCTCCTGGCCCGCAGGGCTTCTCTCACACCATTTTTACGTTTGCCTCTTCATCTAGATCGGTCTCTTCTGGGGGCCCCACTGCACCCCCAGGCATATCAGCAAGGAGACCTTAATGCCTTTCTTGCTCCTCATCCCTGGAGCTCTTTCTTCCAGAGGAGGTACCTGTGTCACAGCTATAGTGTGACTCCCGAGGTGGGCCTCAGCACCACCAGTTGAAATCTCTCCCCAGCCGGACCCAGTTCGTTCAGCCTGCCTCTCTTACTTTGGCTTAAACCATTACCTTCCTTTTGGACTGGCTTTCTTCTTCTGGTCTATTCAGATCCTATCGTGAAATCCCACCTCCTCCCTGCCAGCTACTGTGAGCCTCTCTCTGGGCTCCCATACTGTGAGTCTGTCCAACACAACGGCGTTCATCAGTCTGTCTGTATTCAACAAACACATTGAACTCCAAATGTGGCAGCCATTGGGCAAGGTGCTGGGGATGACTTGCTGAACTACCTGCCCTCATGGGGCTACCACTCAAATGGGGGAGATACAATAAGAATAAATACAGTAACCAGGAAAATGTCACCCAAGTTCTCAGGGCCTAGCACCCAGCTCACAAAGAGTTTATGGAATTCATGGATAATTCATCGATTTGAGGCCAGAATTTTTAAAGAGAAATGATCCAAAGGAATAAGTTGAGCCATATAAGAAACAGGGTGATGAGGCCTTGGGCTTGGTTCTAAAATCACTGGTAAACCAATGGTGTGACCTTGAACATGTCTTGGCCTCTCAGCAGCCTTTAAAGATTAGGTGGGTGTTTTTGGTCATCTCTGGATGCCTTTCCATTTCTGAGATTCTGGATTCTGTTATTTGCAACTGCTCCGGGATGGCCCCCATCCTCTTCCTGGCCTTTTTTCCTGCATGTTTCCCCCACCCCCATTCCTTCCGCCCTTTACATTTGTCCCTTCTGCATCCGCCCTCCACCCCCTTCACTTTCCTGGCCACCCCCTAGTTTCACTGAGAGGGTTGCCATGGCAATCATCTGGAAGTGACATCACTCATCTCCTAGGCAACTGTTTCCAGGACAGTGACATCATTTGATCGCCATGGCAACCCTCCAGGAAGATGATTTTGCAGTGCAACAGACAAACAGCATTCTTATGTCTTTCTGGGGGTTGGGGACAATGCAGGGAGAATATTGAAAGAAGAATATCTGAGGAGCAAGAAGGAAAAGATTAAGGCTTTCAGGGGAAAAGTGGGAAAACCAGCATGGGACTGGAAAGAGCAGAAGCTCTAGGGTGGTGAACCGTTCTCCTTCCAATAACTAGATTGATATATCATCAAACTCGGACACCTGAGAGTGAGCAAGAGCACCATTGTTATTATACTGGGACAACAGGTGAACACTGAGCTTCCCCGCACAACCCAGGACAGGTGGCTTCTGCCCATGGTCAGGCAGGTACCTAGTCTTACTCCCTCACCTATGGCTCGCCCACTAAGCATTGATTCAGCTCTTCCTGTGTGTGGGCACCAGGGATACCGGGGTGCGCAAAACCAGCCTGCATCCCTGGCCTAATGTGTGTGTGGTGGGGCTGAGATTAATCCCGCAGTCAGACCGAGGTGCATGTTGCCCGGAAGGGAAAGCACAGAATGCCCGGCACATGTTTAACAGAGGGCTCTGAACAGCCTGGGCAGAGGGGAGTTAACTAAGGGTGTGGGTGTAGGGTTGGGGAAAGTCTTGGCAGAGGGGACAGCATGTGCAAAGGGAGTGTGCACAGCATCAGGAGCTGAAAGAAGGCCAAATGGCCAGTTATAAGAGCGGGAAGGAACTGGGTGGGAAATGAATGTAGAGAAGGTGGCAGAGACCAGGTCTCGCAGGCCAGCACCCTGAGAAACCCCCATGGAAATGTTTTGTGCAGCAGAGCACATGATCCTGTTTGCATCTTCAAAATTGCATCCTGGCTGTTGTGTGGGGCAAAGTCGGGGAATAGTTTGCCCAAGAGGGAGATTGGGCAGCAGGGCCCTGGGTGGTGGCAGTGGGATGGAGAGAGACAGTGGATGTATTTGGGAGGTAGAGCTGCCAGGGTTTGCTGAAGGACTAGATGTGGGGTCAGGTAAGGACGGACTCGGGATGACGTTCGGGATGGCCTGAGCCACTTGGGGAGGGCGGTGTGAC